CCGCAGGGAGTGATGGTTGAAAATGTAATGTACGTGCACAAAAATAAAAGTAATTTCACAAAAATAAGTGATATTCATTTTGTAAATACTAGGAACAGACACAAGCTAGTAGTACCAGTTACTCGACTCCATCGAGTCAGTAATTCATTCTTGGGGCGATATACTTTTATACTATGCTTGGGAACTATGGTTTTACAAAAAAATCCTAGGGAAAATACAAAATTTGACCTGTACAAAGTTCCAAAACTTTACTAAAGTAAGTTTTTATAAAAAGATTTATTATAATATTCATGGATGATAATAACCCCTGGGAAGAGTGATCGCTACCAAGCTATTTCTAATTCGTTTTTTGTTAATTGTAACATATATGATTGTAAGCAGTTATTTAAAAAAAATAGTCCCGCTAGGTTTCTTGCTAGTTCTTCCCAGGACAGAGGTTTTTTTCCAAACCAGTGATAAGTAAATAAAAAAATGACTTTCAATACGTATTATTTATAATCTATATTGAAAAATATCGTTTTTGTTTCTATTCAGGTTAGATACTACTACGAGTATATACTACTTTTACTAGGTAGTAAGATCCCTTTTTTGGCTAGGAGTCCATTTGGGTGCTTGCCATGCTGTGTCCAGTACACATATGACAGGTATAGAGAACACGTACAAATACAGGCCGGGAGGCATTCCATCTTAGTTCTCCCAGGTTACAATGCAACTGTATCCATCTTTGTTTGAAGCTGGCTGCAGGTGTCCATGGACTTCTGTAGCCACTTACAATCTGTGAGTCCTTTGTCACTTAAGTTATATATTTTTTTAAATATACATATTTTTGTTACACAGTTTAAATAATCACATTCATTGCGCACAGTGAGTCTGCTGTTTTTACTTACTCTACGACAATGGAGATCACTTCGGTTGCACAATTCCCTCTGTTTGTCCTCCAAAGATATTGGCCCAATGCAAATACTGCTGGCTCGTTATTGGCCCCTCGATGCCCCACGCTTGCTGAGTGATATCTGATGAAATTTGTACGGCCCTCGGGCGATAATTAAGTTTTGAAAAATGCCTCCTCGTGAAACAGAAACGGATGACGCGTTAGGAAAGAACAAAGTAAAAGTAAATGGAGTCTATCCTGTCACCGCAGAGAACAAGACCCCTCTCAATACTGTTACGAAACAGGCTAAGAACATTTTAGACTAGGTACCTATTATAACTTAGAGGAATAAGAACGTATGGAAACGAAATTCTTTTAGCTCTAGTTATGTGCTGGCATAAAAGAATACTTACATCGTAAGACCGTCTTATAAATTTAATTCCATTCCATTATTATAATCTATAATAGAATCATAACTTTTTTTGAGAAGAAAGCACACACAAGTACACACAAATATTTATAAATTTTTAGGTTCTTATTTCTTGGTCCACTATGATCTCCATTATAAAATGACCATATACCACACCATATACGACATGGTTTAAGAATTGTAATTCTTAAAAGAGTATACACTCAGTGGCGAAGCTAGAGCTCCAAGCTAGGGCAAGCCCAAGATATAAATTGATAAAAATATAGATTGTTGTTTTAGCAGTTTAATAAAAATACACCAATCTTGATCTGTCTCCACGCTTCAGTTTCATATTCAGTGCTGTCAAGGACGTGTTTAACAAAGCACACAGAAGGCATACCACTGCTAGATAGATTGTATTGCATATCAGCAATTGCATAGCTTCGGTGGCTTTGAAGAAAGCCGTTTGGGTTTGTTTAAGCGAAAGAAAAAAATATTTACATCCAATACAATACATGAAAAAAAGTAAAACACGAACAAAGTACAAACAAACTATGTACAACATTAAATAAAATTATTTACATTCTAATGGATGAGAGATAAGATTAAAATTATAAAATATAATTATATAATATAATTACGTCCACGTAAAATGTTGGTGAACGTTTTAATTGTACCAATAACTGTTTTTAATTGCGATAATTGCGATAATGGTGGGTAGCTCAAGGATGCTGGCTAAGATTAATCTGACAGACTTACCTCCTATTTACTATGATAATACTACAATTCCGTTCAGTAATTCTGTTAGAAATCTTGGCCTTCACATCGACAGCACGCTGAAATGTGAGTCGTAAAGTCACTACCGCGTTATGCTTTCTGTATCGTTTAAAGCATTTTCTCCCCACAAATCTAAGATCATGCTTGTCCATTCACTTATATTACCCATAATTGATTATGCAGATGTGTGTTACCCAGACCTGTCCCAAGATACGTGACCCAAGACCTGTCCCAAGATTTTATACGTGGTAGAGCCATGCTGCAGTTATATTAGTAGTATAGTTGTAGCACGAATGGGTCGGCTCGACCGGGGAAGGACCACGCTCTCACAGAATACCAGCGTGAAATAGTAGCTTAATGCTGCTGTATTTCGTATGGTGAGTGTAGAGAACCGGAGACCCTTTTTACTGGAAACGAGGCATTCCATCTTAGTCCTCACGGGTGATAACGCATCTGCATTTTGATTCGTAATCGAGGATAGATGTAGATGTATATGGGCCACAGTAACCACTTACTATCAGGTGGACTGTGAGCTCGTTAGTAACCCTATCCTATAAAAAAAAAAAAAAAAAGATCTTCTGAACAAGCTGAAACGCCTCCTCAATAACTGTATAAGATTTATCTTTGGGTTTCGAAAGTATGATCATATTTCGCAATACAGATCTAAGCTAAATTGGCTTACAATCCGGCAGAGCCGCAACTCCAGAATATTACTTGTACTTTTTTCCATATTAAATGATCCATCTTCGCCTTCTTATCTTAAGAGTAAATTTCATTATCTTTCCTCATCTCATGACAGGGTCCTACGCTCTTCTTCTAACAACAAAATCTGTACTTCAGTTCACTTCACCGAGTTCTATGGTAACTCCTTCACAGTTCAGGCTACACGCCTTTGGAACTCCTTGCCCGATGACATCAGAAAAGCTCCCAATAAGTACGCTTTTAAAAAGTTGGTCCGTGATCATTTATTAAAGACAACGCATTCTACATGATTCATCTATTTAATATGTATTGCCAAACAGACGTATATATATAGTCATTTGTATATATATATATATATATATATATATATATATATATATACAAATGAATATATATCATATATATATATATATATATATATATATATATATATGAATATATATATATATATATATATATATATATTCATAGTCATTTGTATATACTAATTAAGTATGTATATAAATATGTTTACTTGTATGTATATCCATTTATTTATATATTTGTATATATGTAAGGATAGATCAAATATGTATAGTTTATTTATTAGTAGTTTGTATATATTATGTTGTTAATTATCATTTGTATTGTGTTATCTTATTCTATATCTCACCCCCAAACCTCAGCATCCCCCATTTTTGTTAAGGATGCAATAAATAATAAAATAAAAATAATAAAAATAAATAATTGATAAGTCTGAAATACACTCTTAACCTTGTGTATTATCTCAACAAAGTTTAAAGATTTCCTCTCGGATTATCACTTTAACACACTTCAATTCATCATCCTCCATTTTCATTAAAAATCTTTAAAAAAGCATAAATTTTGAACTCGTAATATTAAATCGCTTAAGATAAGCACACAGAGTAAATAAACATTGAAACGTGAAATGAACTTGCAAACGTATTGCCCGCGCGCCTTCGCTTTTAACAAATTTATTCCCAAAAGCCTGGCTTTAAATCTCTATACTAATTGCTATATATACAATCGTAGTTATATTTCATTATAAAATATTTTGCCATAGGTTAGAAAGAGAGCGATCGTCTTCTCGAAAGCCCCGTAAAAAGCCCACGCGAGCGAGGGAGACAACTATTAGCTCTATTAAAACTCATTTTTTATGACAGCAGCAGTATCGCTAAGGCAATACGAGGTCATCGGTCGAACAGTGGAGTGCGCGGGAAATTTGAAATAGCTTGAAACATTTTACGAGTTATTTTATTAGTTGATATTATTGATTGATTCAGGTTTAATAAGGTAAGCCCGGCTTTTCGGCTTTAATGGAAGCTTCGCCACTGTATACACTCACTTACCGAGAAATATAAAAGAAAAAAGTAACATGTGCCTTGAGTAGGCATACCCGTTAAATATCTGTAACCTATGTTAGGCATTAAATATGAATATAAAACACACTTAATGTAAGTCTTAATTATTTTATTAATTTATTCATTATTGCAAAGAATAAGGGCGGACTTAATGCCTTGAAGCATTCTCTACCAGTCAACCCATGGAACAGTGAGAATTTGAGGTAGGTGTAGCAATATAGAATTAAAAAAGTATACAGAATCAATATATAATTATATTTCATCGCTTCATTTTTCAGATATAATTATTCACCAGATAGTCCCCTTAACCTACAGGTGACTATGCACGCTTGAAAAGACATTTAACTGACTAAACTAAAGTTGGCTGTGAACCGACTTACCCCTACCACCGCTGACTCGGGGACGGAGTGCGTCGCCATTCTGAGCCCATTTCTTTTTCGTGCACGGTGACGACAGCACGCGTCTCCCAATAAGTTTACACTTTATTCTTGCCTTTTTTTGTAAAGTATTTATAATCATAATAAAAATTTATAATGCCAAAACGAAGAAAACATCGAGTGTTACGAACGCAAAATTACAAAGTTACGTGAACGCGATGTCGCACGACATCGCCGAATACGGGTCATATCATCAGAATCTTCCAATAATGAAGGTAAGCATATTTATTTTTGTATTATAACGATTTACTACGAGTCAAGATTACGTAACATTTGTTTCGTTAGCACGTGTTGTTTTTTACACATGTTATATTATAGCTTTAGCTTTCATCAGGACAGGCCGTGAGCCTCGTTCGTTATAGTAATCCACTTTTCTAATTCTAAAAATATTATTTTTAGGTGTTGAAGACGCCGACCACCCTGAGCTAAACCTTATAGCTAACATGAAGGACCTCGGGATTGCTTCAGGGCAGAGTCCCACAACACTTGAGCCCATGCTGGAGCTCGAGCTTACATCGGAACCTGAGCCCCCACTGGAGCCAGAGTTCAAACCAGAGACCAGGGCGGAGAAACCATTAGAGCCACTGGCTTTAGAGGCAACTTCGACGGAACATAACCCGAACGGTGAATCATCTGAACCAGAATTGGATCCTGAACTTTTAGAAGCCTTCGGTGAGTCCACCAGCGATACCCCAGAGTTTTGAGAAAGAATTCACGAGAGTTTAGCCAAATTGTGGCGTTCTCTACTTGTCAAAGGCCTGCCAAAAGATAAAAAGGAAAAAATTCTGAAGGAGTACCTAATCCCGGACAACTGTAGGTTGCTGCAAGCACCTAAACTAAACGCAGAAATATCAGCAGCAGTTATAGACTCTGTAAGAAACAGAGATAAGATCCTGGTAGTTCATCAACAGCAACTCTGGTCGGGGATAGCGGCCATTAACAGGGCGCTCAATATTCTCTTAAGTGGGGACGACAAGAAGAATGCTGTCCAACATCTTAGCAATGCCCGCCGTATTCTTTCGGATTTGCATACGATAAACATACGAATAGCCGCATAAAGCTAATTACACCAAACCTGGATAAGAACTTTCTCCACGTAGTTCAAGATTCAGTAAGAGACGAAACTTTGTTCGGTAACAAACTTTCAGAAAAGATCAAGGCAGCCAGAGCTATTGAACGACAGGGTCTGCAAATCAAAAAGATTAATCCGAAACCTTCCGGCTTTCAATCCACTACCAACCGCTCTTCTAGTTCGGGAAACTGGTCAGGCCCACCTCGGTACTCAACGAACCGCTGCAACCGAGGTGGGAAGAAAACGTCGACGCAGAGCCGCCGTCCATACCCGAGCTCGACGCAACAGCAGCCAGCATCGAAGCCTTCAGCAGCGAACAAGTCTCATGCCCCAGCGCCGCAGTAACTCAGGTACATGCAGGTAGAATTAAATACTTTTTTAATTGTTGGACGAGAATTTCATCCAAATTAAGTAATTTTAGATTGGATACAAAATGGTCTATACATACCTTTTTGCAAGGAAGTCTGCCAAACAAACGTTCCTAGCAATACCCTTTCGGAGTTAGAGCACCAGGAAATGTCAACTGCGATTCAAAAGCTGATTGACTTAGGTGCCATAACAGAATGTCTTCCAAGTAGAGACCAGTTTGCCTCTAAAATATTCCTAGCCTCCAAGACAAACGGCAGCAAGCGTTTTATATTATATTTGAAATCGTTAAATAAATATGTTTCAAAGTTTCATTTCAAGACGGAAGATTATCGAACAGCGACAAAGTTAATACCCCAACACGGGTACTTAGCCACAATTGATCTGAAAGAAGCCTACTTACTTATTCCGATTCATGCTAAACGTAGAAAGTATTTAAGATTTCAATTTAAGAGAAACAATCAGACCACGACCTACGAATTCACGTCAATGCCCTATGGGCTGTCAGTGGCTCCCAGGGTATTTACTAAGATTATGAGAGAAATCGTAACTCACTTGAGAAGCGCGGGCTTTAATTCAGTAAGTTATCTAGATGATATTCTCTGCATCGGCAACACTTATGAGGATTGCAGATCGAACGTAAATGAAACCTTGAAACGATTACAATGTCAAGGTTTCATTATAAATTTTGATAAATGCTCGCTCCAACCCAAGCAAAGTTGTAAATTCTTTTGCACTAAGAATCTAACCATTTATCTGCCAGATAATAAACGTAACAGTATTGCACAATTAGTTCAGAAGTTTATTTGTCTACCCACATGCACTATTCGAGAATTTGCTCAATTAATTGGTGTTCTAACTGCAGCGTGCCCGGCTGTCCAATACGGTTGGTTATACACCAAGTTATTGGAACGTCAAAAATATCTCGCGCTACTTGAAAATCAGAATTATGAGAGTAAAATCAATTTACCTAATTTAATTTAACAGTGGTAGAGCCACGCGGCAGCTTTGCTGTCGCACGTATGGGCCGGCTCAAACCGGGGTGGTACCACGACCTCACAGAATACCGGCGTGAAGTGGAAGCTCTGCTTCCGCGTTTCGTCTGGTGAGTGCAGGTGGCCGGAGGCCCAATTCCCCCCCCCCCCCCATCAACATGGTAGCGGAATTAAATGATAGACTACCCCAGGAGGGTACCAGCACCCCTGGAGAATCCCTCGCTGAGCATCCACGACCATGTTTCTCCACTTCTGAGCGTGGGTGCTCAGGCTGCCCCGCGTATTCTGGGGGGGGGGGGGGGGCAATATTCCGCTCAAGACTAAAACTGCTCGGGGCAAACGGAGCAACAAGACCAAGGCGACCCCTGCCACGCTGTCCGTGAATTTCTGCAATATCAGGGGACTTCACTCTAACCTAAACGCCGTCCACTACCATCTCGAGACGGTGATGCCGGCTCTGCTCTTTCTGACCGAGACGCAGGTGTCCTCTCCGGCTGATGTCTCGTATCTCTTCTGTCCGTGTACAAACTGGAACACTCCTTTGTGCCTCGGGCTGGAGTTTGCGTTTACGTCAGAGAGGACATCTGTTCTCGACGCCTCGGCAGACTTGAAGGTTCGGACCTGTCCATCCTTTGGCTACGCGTAGACAGCGACGACCATCCGCGCGTCTACGGGTGCCTCTATAGGTCCCATAGCGGTAATGCCGAAACAGACCGACTCTTCGACCACGTCCAAATGGCTGCAGATTCGTTGCTACAGCAGATCCCCTCCGCAGAGATCGTGATCCTCGGCGACTTTAACGCCCATCACGCCGAATGGCTCGGTTCACGTTTAACCGATCATGCGGGGAGATCTGTTCATGATTTTGCCTTGGCATATGGTCTGACACAACTGGTTACTTCGCCTACGCGGATTCCAGATGTGGAGGATCATGCACCTTCCCTGTTGGACCTTCTGCTGACCTCTCACCCGGACGGATATCAGATTTCCGTCGACGCCCCTTTAGGCTCCTCGGACCATTGTCTTGTCCGGAGTGTGGTGCCACTCACGCTGAAATCGCGGTTGCATTCTGCAGGCTGCCGCCGTATTTGGCACTATAGGTCAGCCGATTGGGATGGGATGCGGTCTTTCTTTGCATCCTACCCTTGGGGGCGGGTTTGCTTCTCGCCGGATGATCCCAACGTTGTTGCGGATTCTGTCGCTGATGTGGTACTTCAGGGTATGGAACTTTTTATTCCTTCCTCTGTGGTGCCCATTGGAGGCAAATCTCAGCCATGGTTTGGTCGCTCCTGTAAAATAGCATCATGCTATAAGCAGGAGTGCTACCGAGCCTGGGCTGACGCATCAGCGTCCAGGGATGTAAACACCAGCGCTCTAAAAAAGAAGTATAATTCCGCCTCTAGGTCCTTCAAAAGAGTCATTGCCAAGGCAAAGTCAGAGCACATAGGCAGAATTGGCGAGAGACTAGTTCGTCTTCCTTCTGGAACCCGTGCATTCTGGTCTCTCGCCAAGGCTGTCCAGGGGAATTTCTGTCAGCCATCTCTTCCATCTCTGCACAGGGAGGACGACTCACTGGCCCATACCGCAAAGGAGAAAGCCGATCTTCTAGGCTCTTTCTTTGCGTCTAACTCGACTCTCGATGACGGGGGGAGTACGCCGCCGACCATCCCGCGGTGTGAGTGCTCCATGCCGGAATTGCAGTTCACTCAGCGCTCGGTTCGCAAAGCACTCCTCTCCCTGGACATCCACAAGTCGAGTGGGCCTGATGGAATCCCCCCAATTGTGCTGAGGACGTGTGCTCCAGAGTTGGCACCGGTTTTAACGCGTCTTTTCCGGTACTCCTACTCCCTAGGCGTAGTCCCAAAATCATGGAAGACGGCTTTCGTCCACCCGATCCCTAAAAAAGGCGACCGCTCAGACCCGTCCAACTACCGACCTATCGCCATCACCTCCTTGTTCTCCAAAACAATGGAGTCCATTGTAAACTGCCAGCTCATGAGGTACCTTGAGGATCACCAGCTGATTAGTGACCGCCAATACGGTTTTCGCCGTGGTAGGTCAGCTGGTGATCTTCTGGTCTACCTAACTCACAGATGGGCGGAGGCAGTAGAGTCCAAGGGGGAGGCATTGGCCGTTAGTTTGGACATTGCGAAGGCCTTCGATCGGGTTTGGCACAAAGCGCTTCTTTCGAAGCTCCCTTCCTATGGGCTTCCCGAGAAATTGTGCGATTGGATCACCAGTTTTCTTGCAGATCGGAGCATCAAGGTCGTTGTAGACGGTGCAAGCTCCGATTGCAAGCTTATTAATGCTGGTGTTCCACAGGGCTGCGTGCTATCGCCAACGCTGTTTCTTCTGCATATTGTAACGCTTCCCGCCCTCTCATAATAATAAATATATAAAATACTAAATGTATTATATTCCCCTTTATATTAAAAATTATATATATGTGACCAGGATTAATAAATTATTTTTGATCTTTCTAAATGATCTTTCTAAGGGTTTAATAATAGGCCGTTTGTAATATTTTGGCGTGATCGTCTTAGTTAGGACCCTTATTTACGTTGTGTTTGTTTAGTAACTTAGTTCTTTTAGGTGTCTTTTGGAAGAATGAATATTCACTAGAGCAATTGAAAGCCGTTGGTAGTGCCATATAAGCTAAGTGAACCCCGTTCACGAAGACAGGGCTCGAAAAAGGTTAAGAACATAAAACGTCCCTATTCCACTTGCATCAGGTTTACATTATTAATTATCCCTTCCCGCTCGGAAAAGGCTCAAAATATATTTATACAAAATACCCGATACAAGGGCTTCGCTCTCCTACATTTATTTAAAAAAATGTAGGGGAGGTACACGGCCCCACACACGCCGTGCACGGTGAGTGCCAACCATTTTGATGCACTCCCCCCCGAAGGGAAAGCTAATTCGGGAACTGGACCGTAGTCCACAGCAAAATAACTGGCAAACCAGTAAAAGAGGCTTGGCCCCTTGCTAGTGCGTAAGCACAAACATCGACCGAAGTCGCGCATGTCAATGCGTGTAAACGCCAAACAGAATACGAACGAATCCAGCCACAGTGAATGTACGTCACACGGTTTAGGCAAATAGGCACACTGGCCGTAAACCCTCCGTGAGCGCCACCAGCTGCCAGACCGCCGCTCCTGCAGACGTGATGTAAGTGTATGGCATCACCACCAATTGCATGATCAGCACGGCTACTAGCCGCAGAGCGTGTCATGAGTCTACCGCTCACCTCAAGGGAATGGGGTCCCAC